TGCACGAGCAGCTGGATAGAACAGGTGTAATTTACGCAGCTCATTTACACACTTTTCCTGAAGATAGAAGAGTTTGTTGAATCTGACGTGACACGTTCGTACGAACCCTTTGTACGAACAAAAGTAAGAGAAATTTAGGATAAAAATACGAACATGTTCTTGCATGAGGCCCATTGTCTTTTTGTCTTCAACAGGTTGCCAACAGCACACACCTGGTGAGATAAAGCTACTTTCAAAGCAATGACTTAAGAGTTTTAAACTCTTAGTTAACTTCCTGGAGCAACTTTGCTAGCTTGTAAAGAACAGGAACTGGAAGTGGAGAAATTCACTACTGTTTTTATCATTTTTTTGTTATTTTGATTTCACGTTTCCTCTGTAGCAATATCACAACTAGTAATGTTTCTGTTAGCATTTTTAGCTTTTTTAAAACTCAATAATTTCTCATGGCTGCTTGTGAAAAGTTGCTCCTGACATGTTTTATCCACCACAACTTCTTACCTCAGTGTGTCCAATCCTGGTCCTCTAGAGCCACTATCCTGCATATTTTAGAGGTTTATCTGCTCCAGCACTCCTGCTTGGAATGAATTTGTGATTAACAGTCAACTGCAGAACTTGAAGCTCTTATTCAGTCACTGAATCTGGTGTGTTGGAGCAGGGAACCAAGTACAACATGCAAGATAGTGGCTTTGCATCTAACACTTTTACTGCAACATAAACCCATGCAAGATAATATGAATATGAAATTTAAGTTGTTATAAACTTTACCTAGAAATTCATTTTTACATTTGTTGTTGGGGAAAAATCAGCGGTATTCCCCTCCTTTATTAAACCCAAGCAAATTAATTAGGGCCTTCATTCTCTCTTTATATTTCTCAGATTTGATTATTTAAAACTATTACAGAGTCGGGTGGAAGGAAATAGTTTTTTGCAGATTTATCTAACATTGTTACAGTCGTGTAAATAAACTATAATGTGGCTAAGATGACGACTTTCTCCTTCCTATTTGTTTACTCAGTGGATGACAAAATGTTCATGTAAATTTTTTTGTTCATGGTTTTAGAAAAGCCATCTGGACACAATAAAAGGGTATTTATCGAAACAGGAAAATCAAATTTGTTCACCTAAATGTATCATCCCAGTTTGACTACACCAGATCACTGATCAATATTCTCTTTTCCTTTTTGTTCTGCCAGTGAAACAATTATCCTCGTGGCTTACTTCAGGAGCATTTAAAACAGTATTTTAATGCACTGGAATCAAAGTGCGAGATGCTTTTTTGGTTGGGTTAACGTGCTCCGATGGGCCCGACACATAAACTGTCTATAAAGAAAAAGGCATTTGCAAAATGAGGGTACAGAGCAGTCTAATCAAGACAGAAAAGTCTTTTGCTGCTTGATTGGCTCTCAGGAGTTAAATTAGCAACAAAATGAGCTGTGCAGCAGACTTTTTCTTTAAACAAATTTATTGTTTTTCCAAAATTGCTGCTAGCGAGGAACCGAATTGAGCTTATAAAGCTGCATTTGCTGTTTCACTGCACCCAAGTAGTTTCAGTGAAGTGTACTGCTGCGGTCTTAAATCCATATGAAGGAAATGGTTTAAATGGCAACATTTGTGCAGCAGTTGTCTGCTCAGACGACTGCCTTACTGTCAGTGTAGATATTCTTTTGACTTTGATTCATTTTGTTTTTATTATTTTTGAGTAATAATATTAAAAGGAAGAGACGTCTTTCAGTAATCTTCTGTTAAAATGGAGCTGCTGTTCTCAGGAACAAGCTTTCTAATGAAAAGAAAATATTTAAACTGTCGTCTCTACATGTTGACAGATATTCAACATAGACAACGTGAAAAAATGTTAAACATCTTCCCTAAATGAGATATCTTCCCACACACAAATAAAACCAGGTTCCCTGTATTGTATTCACGAACAAAGAGCTTCACTTCATCTCTGTTTGTCTCTGCAGTCTGACAGTGATTGCTTTGTCTCTTCTTGTTAAATATGCATACAAATGAAAAATTATAAATGGGGAGTTTCAGTTTTTATAAAACATTCTTTCTTTTGTTTGTCTTCTTTCACCATTGTGTCTCTGTGAATAGTTTCTCGCATTTGAACACCTTTTCTAAACATCAATGAAAAAAAGAAAGAAAAAAAAAGGTAATGGTTAACTTACCTAAAGCAAATCACAGAAATGAAACTGCCTCGTTGAAAATCTTATTGTTTCTGGATGAAACAGAAGAAATAGTCAATGATAATTCTCTGCAATGTATGGTGTTATTATTGCAACAGATTCACAAGTGAAACGAAGGAAAATATGAACAATTTTACAGTTATGATGCACTGTATTAGTGCACACTGTAAAGGTGATTTTGCTCCTAACATGAGGCAGTGAGGACCTCGGTGAGAGCCTGCAGACATTCAGCTCGGCGTCCTTGATGAGGCACCAACAAACACCTTGTTTGTTTTGGCTGGCAGAAGTCACCGAGGCGACACCTTGCCGTGCTTGTTGGCACTCCTGCCTGTGGAAGACAGACAGCTCCCTGCGTTCAAAGAGCACAAAGGGATGCAGATGCTGGAGAGCCCAGGGGAAACATAACGCCTGATGACAACACCTCCACAGCACAGTCACTGAACTGGTGAATGTTACAAAAAATAAACAAATAAATAAAGCAGACTTCGAAAATGTTTATTCAATGGCATTCTTGTACCTTTTCTCACTTCCCTTCCTCAGCAGATGTAGCTGTTCACCTGCTTTTTGAAAAGGTAGATGATGGGGTTATAGATGGGGCACAGGATGTGGGCAAAGTTGTGACCTGAGGAAGGATATGCACCTCTAAATCTACCACCAACAGTGTCGTGTAGGGCAGCCGCAAATGGAAAAAAAAGTGCCACAGTTATTGCCAGGACCATGCTGATGGTGGGATTGTTTGCCCTCTGTTTCAAACGCCCACTCTGCAGCTCAATGTTCTTGTTTAATGTGTGGGAAAAGTCAGTTTGGTCACCTAAACCTTATTCTAGTGTAAACATATAAACAGTAGTACAGTCTAAATATTGTCACAACTGTAAATCCTATTGTGTTCTCATCATTTGGCCATTTTAGACGTTTTTGCTCATAAAAACTTGTTTAATTTGATCTGATTGATGTAAAGTATTCCAACACTGAGTAAAACTCAGGCTGGTATTGGTGCTACTGTTCCAGTTCTGATACTTTGTTTAAATACACCTAATATGTTTGGTAAATCCAGACTTGCAGTAACTCGTTACATTTACTTGAGTAATTTTTTGGAAAAAAATGTTCTTTTAGGAGTAGTTTTACAACGCTGCACTTTTTACTTTTACTGTTACTTGAGTGAAATTTCTGGATGCTCTAGCCACTGTGAGTGACTTCACTGAATGAAGAACAAGCTTGTTTTCACCAAAAATTCACCAGACAAGTTTTTGTTAGTTTCAGAAATTTTAGTTTAAATGAAACATTTTAAAAATCATTTATTAGTTCATTATCAAGAACAACTATAAAAATGAACACTTGGGTCTTAATTTATGTTACCTGAACGTGTTAACATGAACATACTGAACATGTAACATCTACAGACTGAGTGGCAGACTGAGCACATGCCGCTTCACTTACACATTATGCAGGCAGGAGAAAAAATAGTTCCCATCAACCATGATTATTTAGGCAAGATTTCAATAATTTAGTTACTTTCCACCGTGTTCACGTTATTGATACAGTGGTTTGCAAAAGTATTCATACCCCTTGAACTTTTCCATATTTTGTCACATTACAACCACAAACATAAATATATTTC